TAGTGCTAAGTGTGATTCGACATTATTGGACAGACTGATAATATGCCTTGAATTTTGACTGTTTTATTGAAATGAATGTGATCGGTATTTGATGAAATCAATAATTTGAGATTGTGATGAAATGATTGTATCGTAGTACGTAATAATGACAGTATTAGCTTGGCATTTAATTATAATATTATTAATTGACACATTCGACTTAATTAAAGGAATATAATAGCTTTAATTTAAATTCTTTCAATAGAAATGGAGTTGTATAGTGACAGCAATCATACTGTTCACCGAAGAGGAGACGATATGATTTTGTTTTATTAGATAATTATATCTAGATTCCTTTTGATACAAAGTTATGGGCGTGAGGGATAGGACACCGACTGAAGATTGAGTGCAATTTTAGACCCTATCTCCCTTTATCGCTCAAACTTAGACCCTGTAACTACATAAATAACTTTATAGTTTTTGTGGTATCATGTATAATATCCTGATTACATAACAATGTTTAAAAAGCTTCTACCCGCATGAGATCAAATACTTCTAAATAGTTTGAGGCTACAATTAATTGTAAATACGTTTTTTTATACTTTGCAATCGAGCCGGATGGAACCTTGCCAGTGAGTCTGAATAGATATTGAGTTTTTTTCTCTCTATACAGTGAGCATAATGTGTATGTACAAAATATATTGTATTTTAAGTTTTTTTTTTATTATAATAAATGCATTATAAATTATAATTATGTTAATTTATATTAAATCTACATTATTAGTTTTAAGTTACATATACTTAATATAAATGGTAAAATGGAGAAACATTATAATTTTGTAGGCAGAAAATCAAATAAAATACATACAAGTCAATGTTCTTCATAAAATACCATATTTTCTAGTTACATTTAAGTTATTATAATTTTCATAAGTTTTAGTTCAGTACAAAGTAATTTTACACCATGGACCTATAAAAAAAGGCGGACGGAACTCGCGCTACAACAAAACTGTGACGCAAAATTTTGGCGTTTGTCTATTGTGTGAGTGAATTTAGGGATGCCATGTTAGCCAAAACATTTTACCCATTTATTTTAAGAAAAACATAGATCGGCAGATGTTACTTGGAAATGTAGACAGAATTATTCCGTGCCATTTTAAAAGGATGAAAGGTGTATGCGTTGAGGTAGGCGCGAAATTTTCAATGTTCAAATTTTCTTACATTGTTTGCAAGTCAGTGTGTCAGGGTATGTACATAATGTACAAAAATAATTCACGCAGTTACAAATTACGAATCTTGTGTAAATTATAATCATAATCTTATGCATCATCAATATATTATTATTATCTCTGATAGATTTTTTTTAACATACAACCTGACACTGACTTGCAATCAATGTAAGAAAATTTGAATTTCGCAGTTCCACATTTTTGGGAAGGATCAAATTTGCCTATGAAAATATATCCCATTAAAACACAATAATTATGATAAATTATTTTATTTCCATAGTATGCGTAATACATAACTAAAAAGTCCTAAAATCATTATTAATTTCCCATATTTCGGGTAATTTTCCCACGTAAATAACTGAGAACACTGGTCTTTGACGTATTATTTTTTCGAGTGAATGACGTTTGATTTCAATTAATTTCAATATTTTAATGTCGGGAAATAAGTGATTGGATTATTATTTTACCTGTGAAATGTGATTCCTTAATTTTTGTTTGTTCGAACAGAACGGTTTTTACACAATTTCATCACACAAGACATGTCGTATTCGTGTTGTTTTTTCGCTGCTTAAATGTGTCAACTGTGTGAAGTTTGCTCTCGAAGTGGTGTAACAGGGTGTGAATGTGTGCGTGCCGGCCTGCACGTACAGGCAAGCTGGTGTATCCTAATGTCACAGTATTTTGTTGATGAGACTCCGTCCGACTTTTTTTATAGGTCCATGTTTTACACATAATGTTTTTGGATACGTAAAGTAAATGAATAATAAATTTATGATTATTTATTATGCATAATATAAATATAAACTGCAGTTAATGATTTTAACAGCATTAACCTTCCTTAATAGTGGTAAATATTCTTGAAAAATACTTCATAAAATGTTCTTAATTATAAAAAAAAACTATAAAAAATTAAGTGTATACATTGTACGTACAGGGCATATTCTGTAAAATCTATGATAAGAAAATAGATAAAGCTAGCCAAAAACCTGTTTAAAATTAATTTTGAATCTCTAACTCCCTGGTTGTATTCATTCATTTTTGTAATTAGTATTTAATTGTTAGTCTTTTGATAATTAGATGCAATATCAATGTACATATTTTTGTTTTGCTGATTTGTTAAAAGAACTGCCCCACGCGATAATGCAGCTACAAACTGAAATAGCGTGGTGTTTTACAGTTAAGGGCCCTCGCCCACGGTGACTTAATTTTGTATACATCCACGAAGACGCGCCCCACCAATTTTTGGTCGAGTGAAGCGCGGGGTGCGGGGAGTTTGATCCGAGCGTCATTATTGTTTGTAGTGTGCTCATGAATGATTTAGCGTGTACCGATAACACTCGAACATTAACGGAAGAATTCGTGGATGAAACGATCTAAGATACATTTCCACCGCGGCGCACTCGTGGGTTGTCGCGAAATGTACGCTATTGAATTGCATTAGATTATTAAAATTTAACAGTAAATAAATCTATTAAAATGGGTAAACAGCACCGCCAATAAATTTTTGGTGTAAAAATGACTGTAACAGTATGCATTTTCAATTAATTGGTACTACGATTTACGGTGCTCATTAAATAATTTATTGTAGTATTAGTCTTATGTTCTGTCTGAAAACGTAACGTGAAAGTAAAAGATAAAGTAATATTTCTTTTTTACTTTGTAATCATTTAACTTTTGTTATTATAATAGTCTCTCACCGAATTTATATTTCTAGCACACAAGATGATGAATACAGGACTTTTGAAATAAAACTATGCAAATTGAAATTCATCTTTTTATTTAGTAACACCTACAAAACGTCAAACAAAGGGCAGGCGACAAAAACTATTAATTAAAAAAGCACTATTCATCATCGCGATAATTATTAAATTTGCGTACGCCGCAACTGTATTTTCTGCTAAGCGGCACTCTGAACAACTCTTCACTCATTTTTCTAGTCTATCTAAAAATGCGAATAGGGTATTTGACACGGGTTACCTACACCATATCGAATTACAAATGATCGAAAATCAAAATATCGAACACGTTTCATCGAACGATCAAAATATCGAACGTTCAGAATATCGAATTTACAAAATAATGATCGAACGATCAAAATATCGAAAGTCGATCTTATGTTGCATAGTATAATAGAAAGATGGAGGTAAGGGTTCCATGTTGACTATGATACCCAAAAGTGGGAAATAAAAAAAATGTGTTTATGAATTTGTTTCATTTACATTAATTGTATGACATTTTTTAAAACCTCTATATTTATTTTTCGATATTTTAATCGTTCGATCATTTGTAAATTCGATATTCTGAACGTTCGATATTTTGAGCATTCGATATTTTGATTTTCGATCATTTGTAATTCGATATGGTGTAGGTAACCCATTTGACACCACTAACCAATACTTCCAAGACAACTTTAAAAAACTTCAATCTAATCCTGAAAATTGTGTAGGTTTTCAAATTGGTAATTACCTATAAGTAAATATAGTTGTTAAATGCAATATTCTAGATCATAGATATTTCCGCATATTTTTATCTTTCAAGAAGTGGTACGGGAGCAAAATATCCCACAAATTGATATTGAGATCTTTAGTAATACTTAGGTAAATTAGTAAATAAATAATTTTACATAAGACATTAATCTTTTCACAAAGATGTACAAAACTACAAACACTTGAAAATAAATCGATGCAAATATTATGCTCTCTCATCTATCACATTCTTGAAAATAAAATATACTAGGCGTCAAAGAAATCGCACCTCCTCCCGCGACAATAATTTCTTCTGACACAATCATGTGCTCCACAAATATTGGTGTTAATTAAAAGCTCATTAATTAAACATAAAGAACACACATTTAATTTTTTTATAAACAATTAACAGGTACCATAAATGTGACATACCACAATGTGAAAAGGCCTCACTTGAGGCTTACCTCTGCGCTCTGGGACCAATTAAACCAATTTTTGTGGGTATAAAACCAAATAATGATCTCACGTGTCCTCTTTAACAGATGTATGGCGATTAATCACAATTTAACAGTTTTATAGCCATATAAGTTGGCTCAAGCGTAACTACCTGTCGCTTTAAGAAGAGACTGGATCCTTCTAGACACATTTTTGGTGTAAAAACCTTTCCTTTAATGACATGAAGTTTAGAACTAGGCTTTCAAATGGTACCAATATTGGTAGGAAGTGGGGATGCATACGTTTAAAAGTATTTGACGTCGCGGGAGGTGCGATTTATTTGACGCCGAGTGTAGGTAGTTGTTAAATGCAATATTCTAGGTCATAGTTATTATTCCACATAATTATTTTTGTATCTTTCAAAAAGTGATAGGGGAGCGTAATACACCACAAATTGAGATCTTTAGTAAAGCCCTTAGGCCTTAGGTAAAGTAGTATAGTTCTTGTTACTCACGAAGGCGAGTGAGTCTACCAAAACTTTGAAAAATGAACAGTTGTGAGCTACATGTAAAGGCTTCGTGAATTGCAACAACTATAAATAAATAATTGTACATAAGACATTAATCTTTTCACAAAGAAGTGCAAACACTTAAATTCATTGGGTGATTTTATTAGAGTAGCCAAGAGCCAATTTATGCAAATATGTATTATGCTCTCCCATCCATCACACTCCTGCAATTAATAGTATTGAATAAGTAACAATACACATTGGCATCTCTTTATCTAATTATTAGTCAAGAACACAGTCACATTACCTAGGTATCTAAACATTATCTAAGCTAATTACACTAAAACTAAGAGTAGTAACTAGAGAGATCCATTACAGTTTGTTTCAGTCTTCACTTCCCATTGAAACGTTGGGCATGGTTGTATACGAACATTGAATGGTGTCCCTGACACAACTGCTTTGTGGCCTGGTTCAACCTTTGCTGGTAATTGAGATATAATGCACTGAAAACATAAATTATTTATATAAATATAGGTATATTTTATTTTAATCAAAATTATTTTTAAGAGACAATAGAAAAATAAAAAACAAACAATACCTTTGGTCTTTCATGTTCTGTTGACATGTAACCAATGCACATAGTTTTGGTAGTGTGACCCCAAAGCAGTTCCCCTTCTCCAATCGCAGGGTCGAAACGCAATGCCAATGTTCCACCCAATCGTTCAGAAACATCCCAAAGAAATGGTGAATTTAAGAAATGATCTTTCAAACATTTGTCCAGGCTTATTACAGGAGAGGGATCATTAAGGCTTTCTGCTGTCTTTCTGGCTAATTGAGTTCGAATTAAATGCTCGCCACAACCAGATGTGCATGCTGCTATGGAAGGTGACTTGTTATCCATGTTATTGACAGCCCACACGCCGCTGCCAAATGAAGCAGCCTGACCAACTCGGCCTTCATGCTTCAAAGAGACTCCTCCAGAACTAGCTCCTGATGCCACTATCCCATTGGAATCAACACATATTGCTCCCACAGTATCCAGAGGACTAAATTTAATGTCATTTTGAAGGGAGTATCTTTTCAATTTTCTTTTACTGTGTTTAAAGTTGCGAAAAGCACGGGCTGAAATCATATCTTTTTCATCTACAATTTCCAAACCCATTCTTTCTGCCCATGACCGGGCTCCTCGTCCAGTCAGAATGCATGGGGGAACCCTGCCCAGGGAGAGATTTTCACATTGCTTCATACACAAGTGTTTGGCCAAACTTATAGGATTCCAGACATTTGACACAGCACCACATGCTCCGAAATGTAGTGTTTGGCCATTCATAATAGATGCATCACACTCAACAGATCCATCCCAACTGAGATTTGATCCATATCCAGCATTGGTTAATGAACTGTTTTCTAATTCTAAAAAAAACAAAAAATAAGTTGCTACCTTACATTTAATGAATTCCATAAATCAACATAACAGTATTTCAAGAAACACAATGACCATTCATAGAGGAGAAGAACTTTTTCAGTCATTATTACCTATTATTGCTTTTTCCACTGCATCTACTGCACTGCCTCCACTCTTAAGAGTTTCTATAGCTTTTCTACAAGCTGCATAGCATGTTCTTTGGTATTCTTTTTTAAGATTGTCACTGTGATACCCAGCTCCTATACAATCATAAGATGAGATTAAGTTTGATGTATGGGAATAATAATCGAGGGGATTTCATGTATTATACAAAATTGAAAAAGTATTTTGGTAGTATAGCTTTAAACACATTTTTTATTTATCAAGTTATTCGTTTGTACTATTAACAAAGTAGCTTACCGCAATGCACAGCAATGAATCCATTCATATTTCAAGTGAATTGTGTTCTTACATGTATGAATATACTGGCTTATGAACTTATTTATTTCGGATTTTCAGTCGTTTTGTATTGAATGCTCTTGTTATTATTACGTGCTCTGTGGCTCTTGTCAAGAAAAAGTGCAACAAGCAAGCAAAAACAAACACGCACACAGTGTTGCCAACTCGGATTTTGAAAAAGTCGTAGGACAGATTAGAAAATTACGTAGAAATGGTACAATTTCCATATTGAAAATACGTAGATCTACGTACTTTTTTTCTGAATGAAATGAAGAGAGTATAGGGGTAGGTAAAAGTAGTAAAACGACAATTTATATTGCCCTAAAAGTAGTAAAGTACACTTTTATTGTGTATCATTTTCAGAAATGTTTTCGAACAGGCGCTCACAGCATTTTTTTAATGGGGAAATGTTAAAATAACATTAGTTTCGACTTTTGCCACATGCCAATTATCCGTGATCGGACTAATAACCCATGTGACATGAGTCATCTGCTTTGGCGCGATGTGTTGAGTGGCGAGGTGAGTGGTGTGCGTTATAGTTCCAAAATACTGAACTGTCCTATGCATGACATTGACAGTGGGGCGCCACCGTCAATACCGGATCGCTAGTTCCGATTTTTGTCATGTTGGAAACCATATAGTTGAACGATGGTAGCGCCACCCTGTCATTGAGTTTGGTGGGACAGTTCAGCGTGGGTCATCTATAGTATGAAATGGAACGTTTATTAACTTTTTCGCGAAAGTAAAGGAAATGATGCACATTCAGGCTATTTTGCAAATTTGATAGAAAATACGTAGATTCTGGGACTGAAGTTCGTAGGTTTGCAAGGAAGGCTTAAAANTCACGACTTTATAGACAAACTGTACGTAGATCTACGTAAAAATACGTAGAGTTGGCAACCCTGCACGCACACCATCTGTGACGCACACCGACACCGACAGTGAGTGAGTGACAGTTTGAAAGTGTTGTTGGTTGAAAAAAAATTTATCGATATTTTTGGCGATATATTGAAATAAACGAATACTTTTGTTCCCGTTGAGTCACTCACACCATTTTGTGTAACACTGTTACCCATTGGTAAAAAAATTACCGATTAGTAACACTGTTACTCAATGCCACATTTTTTTTTCACTTTGAGTAACAGTGTTACTCAACAAAACAGTGTTCCCGTTAAGTAACACATTCTTGTATAAAATCATTGTTTATACAGGGCGGAAACAACAAGTGATCTCACTCGATTATTTTAAATTGAATGTTTCCTTCTTCCATAATTTTAGTACTACCACAGTCATGTCATGGCACTCATATCTCTTGATAATATTATAGCAAGTAAAGCCTAAAATCAACGTTTTCCATAAATAATTTTAAATAAGGATGCAATTTATGAGTTTATTTAAGAGTTTATTAATTAATAAAAACTATTACACTTCTAATATTGTGTGGCTGGTAGAGATGAAACGGATATCCGGTAACTATCCGGTAGGCCGTATATCCGGCCTTTTATTTAAAGTCCAAAAAGTTACAAAAAAGTAGTGATGCAACGAATACGAATATTCGTATTCGCCGAATAGTAGACATTTACCGAATATTCGTATTAGGTGAAATAATAATTACTAATACCTACTTTTTTAAATTTTGTCACACACGTAAGTGTATCTGAACACTATAGCCACAACGGCACGACGGGAAAACCCCGGTCAGTATGTAACAAAGTAGTAAGTACCTAAGTTCTCTTCGGGAATTTGACAGTCAATAGCAGGTCGATTGTACAAGTATTATTTTGTTTTGTGATTATTAGTTACAATGTGAAGTGATACAATAACAACAAAAAAATGCTATTTGTAAATTTTAATTACTAAAACATTAATCATAATAAAAAGAGTAAAATTTATGATTATTTCATGACTATGTAGAGATATTCGTATTCGTAAAAGTAGTATTCGTTGCATTACTACAAAAAAGCCATATTAAAGCCTTTTAAAAACTAACTTCTTTTTCTGGGCCATTCACTCTTATAAAGAATATACATACATAAATAGTAAATAATTATCTGTTAATGTCGAAATATTGCCAAATAAAATAGGCGATCTTTTTTCACTGATGGTCTGATGACATGATGCAGTTCAGTCAGATTACGCAGCAAGTAAACTAATTTAATTTTCACTATTCAATCACACACTCACGATGGCAACCGAAATCGTCCGAATTGATCTACCCCCTAGACAAGTGGCAAAATCTGACATTCTATTCGGACGGATTCGATTTTCGAAAAGTGTGACTATTCTAGTCTACTAGACCCACTGATCGCGTTCGAAGCACCTGTGCGGCGCTAAACTCGTCACAATATGCAACGAGACAATTGGCCAACTATCCGGCCGCCGGATATCCGGCTATCCGGCCTAGCAGCTGGCCGGATATCCAGTATCCGGTATCCAGCCAAACAACTGTCCGTTTCATCTGTAGTGGCTGGCATACCTACACATAAATATAATATGGAAGTTGGAAACATTGAATTTTCAGATAGATCCAATTTATACTGTAACATAATATTGATAGAATTTGAAAGAGCTCGTGAAGCACTTTCAGGATCAGTAACCAGTTGTTCGATATCTTGTATACTTTAGAAATAATCGAGTGAGTTCACTTATCGTTTCCATCCTGTATACTTCTTGACATAATACAAATGTGTCGCAGGCAATTTGTATAGTTCCGCATTTTACAAACGGCAACGACCGTTTACAAACTCAGATCATAGAAGGGAATAGATGTNCCTCCTATGTTATTCTGATTAATTTCGTTGCGGGTCCAATGACAGTTTAACTTTCCCCCGGGACAAACTTGACCTTCATTGGTTGGGTTTTTGTGGCGGTCAAGCTGTAGATCCTGGCTACACAGGAGTTGCAGTGGTGGGAACGAGAGGTGGGAATAGTCCCGTATATATAAGATGCCACAGTGTAAACGTTGATGTGCTGTAGTTTGTACATTTGTGTACTCTCCATTATTTCGGGTGACTGCGCATTATGAAAGTTCAGTCATTAGTATTACGACTAACAACGAACACGGCCTTTGAGTAAAACCTAAGCTTTGCTTATTTCGTGATTTTATCACTTTTCTTTCTTTGACTTGGTGGTTACTTATTGATTTTAATATAATTAATTTGCATTTTTGTTGGTTTCGACTAGTATGGTCTGTAAGACGTGATATTATAAAATTGGACTTTACAGCCAACGGACCATTTTGACTTTTTTGACTTAAACTTATAGGCATTTTTTTTAATTTGTATGTTACAAGTTTTTCAAGCCTTGGAGCGAAATTCCGTTAAGCATTTTATACAACATATTGAAATTATTTATTGATTAAAATCTAAAAAATTCTAAAAAATAAACAATAATTTTCGTCTAAGCTATCCACTTTCAGAGTGCAAAGCTTAGTGTAAAAATTAAGGATTCATTTTATTTAGCTGCATAATGAACGAACAAATTAAGAACTGCTACGAGCTACGGTCCGCTACGACGCGTCGGTGTGCCGTAGCTGCTACGAAATTGCATTCGAGATTTTTGTAGCAATGAGATTAGTGAGAGCACTGTTGAGGTTTCAACTTACAGAAGCATAGAAAATATTTTGCAATTTATTTTTTATGCAAAAGCAGTGCTACGAGTATGTCCAATGTTTTTATAGGTTGCACTTGACTTTAATGTTACTGTAATCTAGAAAATCTGATTAGGAAAATCATTTAATTTTGAAATGAAATTTACTTTGCCATAGCTTAGTTAAATCTTGCCAGGAAAGTAAATATACGATTGCAAATCATAATTTGAAATACAAAGGATTTGTCTCGAATTCGGAAATTCAATTAAAACGCATAATGAAAATATACAGGGTGGCTTACCACTGCCGTTTGTGTTTATCTTCCGATATTGAGGAGTTCAATTCTCAATTTATATTATGTAAATTCTACATTGATCCCATTACAGTATAGAAGAGCAGTAAGCTTAAGGTTAGTCTACTATCAATGAAAATCAAGTTCTTGGTTTTGAGTTCTTGTCTCATCAACGTAGTCTGTAACAGATCAATGAGGGCTATCGTTTTAGCACTCACAAGTTACCGCCACTGTAGAGTGAGGTCCTGTCACTTGCTAGTAGCGAAGATAGTGGCACCTACTGGTGAGCGCTAAAGTGGTAGGTGGACTATCGGATTTGCACTCATCAAGATGGCGCCACTATAGAGTAAGGTCCTGTCAATCGCCAGGGGTGCCAACTGTTAAGTATAAAAACGATAGCCCTCATTGAGTTGATTACAGCTCAGTCTTAGAGCGGTATAATACTTCTAAAATAGATTTTTAGTAAATTACAGAGTCATACATTTTTGTTTTAGGAGTCACGAAAACAGTCCTGCGGTCAGGAATCATACTAGCGATTGAAGAATATCTGCAAGTATTCAGACTTATACTTTTGCTTCAGTTTATACTGTGGCTCCAGGATTCTCTGACACGGATTGATGGATTCATCCATCTGAATCGGTCCGATCGCGGTCGACGAATGGTTTAAAGGTTCACTTTACCGAAAAAATAAAGGCAGATAGCAGAGTCATGGACGAATGGGTTTTCTACTTTTTTTGCTATCAGCCCATTTGTTCACAGACACGTTAATGTTTATTCTCAGCTACGTCATACCGATATCTACTGAGACGTGTAAAAGCGCTTTGTGAAAGCCTATTTGCAAAAAATAAATTTCTTTAGAGGTCTAAGAAAAAATATTTTAATTTAATAAATAAATAAATAAGGTGAATTTAAATAATGCACATTTATTCGCAAATATATGAAGGAACCAAACTGTAAAAAGGACTTAGATTTTAATAATTACTTCGTCCAAAAAATAATGTTTTTTTAATACCCGTCGTTTCGACGGATGGTTAGCTTAAACAGGGTACGCCGGAAGGTTAGCTATCTAGGGCTAATGTTGATAAACAAACCAAATATGAAGCCTATAACCTACTCCATGACACACACCATATTTGGATTCGAAAGAATCATAGCACAAAAAACTCTGTAAATGAATAAAAAAACATTAATATTCGACTATTAGTTACAAACGAATTTACGTTTCTTAATTTTTGTCAATAGCACCATTGTTTGTATAGGACTACGCAGAATACATTTGAATATGCAAAATTATTCGGTCTCTATATTCGCCTGACTAAGAACAATAGTAGAGGTTCATGTTATGTATAACTATGTTGCAAAATATTTACTGTTCAACATGAAATACCTCTTCTTGACGGTGACTGTACCAAAGAAAATATTTTCAGTGTTTTCAGTGCAATGTTTATAATCTTTTATCTTTATTATTTCTCATTCAATGGCTTATCGTCACAAAACTCGCGTGTAAATGCACAAAGCATTCGTAAAGCTCAAAATATCAGAGGATGATACTATAAATCTACGCCAAATTGGTAGGCTCAGTGTGGATTTGTCAGTCAATCAACAATATCTTTATTATACATAAAAAGTCGGTCTGTTGGATGTGACGCACGATATTTATAACTACATTAACTTATCTACGTATTCAACGGTTATTACTTACATAAGTTATGGCATTGTTTATTTTGGTCGATAATTGCTTACCTATTTATCTGTTGTATCGACATAATTGACTCTTTAGACCTATACTTAGATAAGTGCCGTAATGTTTAATATTCTGAAGTGAACTTACATATTGATCGAACCCTTAGCTTAATGGTTTGTATCAGACTCCAACGCTAGTTTCAAAACCTATTGGAGCAACCAAATTATATAGGAAATCTGTATCTGACAGTCGTTTTCCGCTGTCTGTCGCTATGTATGCTTAGATATGGATTTTGATGCGGTTTTTAATAGAGTGATTCAAGAGGAAGGTTTATTATGTATACCTAGCACCCATGCGAAGAGCTGGGCAGATCCCTAGTACCTACTATTATATTTTTAACTTAGGAGCTGAAGCGCCGGGAAGCTCTATAAGTTATTACCCCACTATTTAGCATGTATAAACTAGGCAGCTGTTGACCCTTGAAAAGAGAAAAGAGTCTGACAATAGTAACTGATATTCTTGCGCTGCTTCTTCTCAGCACTGGTCCATTTATTGTCCCAAAGCAGTGATAGGTTTGAAGTAAATAATACTGGGGCGGGCTTTTAAAAGCTTACTTGCAAAACATAATCAAGAGTTTATGATTATTAACATCGTTAAATTGTTTATTTACCTGTAAATGCTAATATTTGCTTATTAATTTTCTGTTCTCTGTTTCTCAGGTATACGAGAGCGGAGTGACAGAGCCGCCTCGTTGGACGCGCTCTCCTCTCGGCCACCATCGGAAGATCAGCGGCTCCCACTGCCCAGTCCACGGGTAAGTGTTGAAACGTTTTCATCATCATCATTTTCAGCCATAAGACGTCCACTGCTGAACATAGGCCTCTCCCAATGATTTCCACAATGGCCGGTTGTAGGCGGCCTGCATCCAGCGCCTTCCCGCTACCTTTATGAGGTCGTCAGTCCACCTTGTGGGTAGACGTCCTACGCTGCGCTTCCCTATACGAGGCCTCCACTCCAGTACCTCTAGCATGAACAAGTTTCGTCTTCGAATCGTTTGCGTATTCGACAAAATTTGATACTCAACCTTCGAATTAAACGATAAAGTGACAATTTTGATTCTCAAAATAAGTTTCGTGCAACCATTTCTCATACTAAGTTCCCTTTACGACACGTTCACAAGGGCGCTGTTGTAGTTTTCGTATTAAATCTTTTGATGGCGATTCGAATACGCAAACGATTCGAACTCGGAAGTTTTTCGTGCTAGCCGTACTGAACTTTACTGCCCCATCGGCCGTCAGTTCGGCGTACCTACTATGTGCCCTGCCCATTGCCACTTTAGCTTGCTAATCCGTTGGAAACGTTTTGCTACATAGTAAATCCCGTTTCATACCTTCATAATGATGAGTAGTATTCAAGCAGATCGCCTGACATTTCTGTTGTTTAGTTAATAACGACTCACGGCTAGCTAACAAATAAAGATTGCCATTGATCTGAAGCATATGAAATAGAAAGTTTTATTTACTTTATCTGACAAATAAGTTCATAGGCTATTGAAACAAAATTTAGTTAAATGCCCAATTTCCCATTAAAGGTCGTATTTACTTATATCTAGGAGTCTTATAATATTAGTTAGGTAGGTACTGTATTGAATAAAAACATTTACCAGTAATAAAGCACTCCGTCAATACACAAATATCTAAATCAAAACCCGTCAATATTCCTAAAACATTTTCATTACGAAATACTCGACAAACAAAAACCTTTCGTTTGCCTTCAAACAATCAAACTAATGGATCTTGATGGATCACAAAATACACAAATAGGTAATACTTTCCTGTAATAATGGCCGTAAAAATTCAAGGTATTATTTCCCGTACCTAATAGGTATATAGGAGGCTGACAAAGTGACTGACGCCCGTTTTCACCATCATTCCCTAATTTTTAAGTGACCCCTATGGTAACACATAACAGGAATTTTGTTTTCAGTTTCGGGTATGAGTTTCCCCGACGTGGTGGTAGGCTTAACATGTATGTTGGTATAAGTGCCCTGAAAAAGACTTTCATTCTAATGAAGAATTTGAATTTGAATCCTTAATTTTTCAAAGGGATGACGTTCTAATATTTCAATTTGTATGTCGTTGAGAATTAATCCAAGGGTAAAAATAGACATCCTTTTAGGTTCGGGTTTGTTTTATGCTCAGAATAAGGCTCAGAGCAATCTTTACGTCAAGTAAATTAAAATACTCTCGCAGCTAGCGGTCAAATAAAGGTTCTCGTAATCTAAAAGCGATCCTTTAAAACTCCACAAATTATAATTTTATCATCACCTGAATAAATTTTAATTAAAACGTTATGGATTCCGGGTAGAGCTCACTTCCTTCCTTCACCTTCATCATCACTTCCCATCAGACTTAGTGCTTTACTATTGAGTTTAAAAATAGGTAGGTACTAAAAGACTTAGGACCCATTGAAAAACCTCTAATTATTTTTTGGGAAGTCTTCAGTCGCCAATATGTATTACTACGCCTAATCTTAGATCAACTCAATACTGCAATTTTTTTATTATAAAAATTGAACTGCTTAGTTTAGTATCAGGTGTAAACTGAACCTTAATCTTTTCAGTGAGCAGTTCAACTTACTGTTACTGATTACAAATTACTGTCTTACAGATAATTGTTTTGCATGTTACAAAGAATTGAATCAAGGGCGTGATCCATTCTTGTTCTATTTGAATGAACATGAATTGTAATGTTTCTTGTATTAGACAAACAAAACTCGATACATAACCAACTAGATAGGTACATACTCGTAGTTTAATTAATTAATTTCATAATAGTTAATTCTTAGTTAAAACGAAATATTTCTTAATCATTCTAACTTATAGTTTTCATGTACCTATGTATGTACAGTCAGCATCAAATAGAACGTGACACCCAAAGTGGCCGAAAAGCTGACAACATAACCTTATTCCAATTGTAATAATGATGTGTTTTGGCTACTTTGGATGTCACGAACTTATCGAATTTATCGCTGACTGTACATATTTTTAAGTAGGTACCTATGTAGGTAATAGTTTTGTTATAGACTGAACTATAATCACTTCTTCCTAACAGAGACGAGAGCAACGCCATCTGGGCAGCGATCCGAGCGCTGCTGCAAGACAACACACTGCTCCAGTGCTACGACAAAGCTTTTGACGACATCGCTGCTGACGCTACACGAAGGTATTACACGCTACATTTAGATACATAAATATTTATCAGACAAAACATATGTTTTGAGTGTCTAGGACTTTTGAAAGAATACTATAGCACTTTGTAAATACAAATTACTTTACTAATAATTCCGTTAACCCCTCGTGGTATTTATTTATAATATTTAGTTAAAGCCTTAAATGTTCTCTAAAACAACCATAGAAATCGGAATAGAAATAAAAAGATCTTGTTTCTTTTGTATGAAATAAGCTGAACATGGCATTTCGTGTATGTAATAATAGAAGTGGGACACAGTGTTGTTCATGTTCCACCACATAGGGTACGGTAGGGCTAAATGGGTTAACCAGTCCAGTGACGTCACGTTATGCCAAATATTTTGACAGGGTGACTTTGAAATCGTTGGCATCCTTATAATATAAGACTCTACTTTGATTCGGATTTGTCTCATATTTGGGGAAAGAACTTGTATTATGAGTAGGTAGCCTTATTTTAAAAGGATGCCAACGATTTCAGTCACCCTGTATAAGGCTACGTGCTACAGGCTACATGGATTTTAAAAAGGCACTGGCTAATTTGATAATGCCAAGGCTGAAAAAATGAAAAAAAAAAAACAAATGCCTATTCCTTTACATCTTTAGCGTGGCGCTATCGTGCTAATGGAAAAACACCCAAAGGGGTTCTACTAAGTCACTCGTACACGAGTGGATCCCATTACCTCCTCTGTATACCCTCTACGCAGTTAGTAGTTCTTATTGAATCTTCTCGTGTTACCCTCATTGAGAGCAAACACGTGTTAGGTACAGTCAACAGCATTCATAATAAACATTTTTATTGCAAAGTCGCACCTATCACAAATAAATAAGATTCGCCACGAGTGTCCACAGCAACGTTAATGTATTTTCATTCCCTACAATATCACATTGTTAGAGAGGAAACTTCTCGCTCTATTGTACAGGCAACGACACATCAAAGTCAAACATTGCGGCATTATGTATGTAAGTAAAGTAGTTTTAATTGGTGCTATTTTGCAACAAAAATACTTCACTCTACAGTCAACTGTACTTGAACATAATAAAAATATTGTTGGACTCTCTATCCTCCAGAGTAATTAACAATTAATGATAATGTAATAACATGTAGTAAAAGAATTTATCTTTTATCAAGTTTTCACAACCAATTTTGATAAACTTAAAGTAAATATTGGATCTTGGAAAAGACGTAGGCTAAATTACCTTCAATAGGGGTTAAATAGGGGAAGAATTATTTATGGGCAACCAATATATTCCCAAGTTGGGGAGACGAAAATTCATATTTATGCTTTTCTTTACAAAAAATTAAGTGAAATGTGAACGTAATTTTAGTTTTATGGCATGATTTTCTTTGATAGACGAAAACTAAGTAACACTGGTTGAAACTAGTTTAAAAATAAACGAAAACATAAGATTCCTTAGCCGTTTTTACTTTACTATTGATGACGTTTACCTTACTTTATTCCTAACCGTTGTGTGAGAAACTTTATACTCTGGCCACAAACTAAAATCAACATCGATGCAGACCTCTAGCAATGACAGGAAATAGACAAAACTTTACATAAATGCTACTTAGCATAGGTAAATAGTTTCTCTCCATGCTATACTTAAGTGCGGGTATACAGATACTTTACTATTTCATAGTGGAGTCTGACTATCCATCATTCAAAAGGGCGATGAAAACACACCACACTAAGCATACTAATTTGAGAATGCAATAATGTTTTATGAAGCTATGACTCCCGCTGCATCCCCATTAGCATATAAATGTGTTCTCAAGTCACTAACTAGAGGTATTAAAAGTAAATTACTTTTAACAATAGACGTACCTACCTACTCAAACTATAGAATATATTATATACTCGTATTTTATTGATTAACGGCCTACTTACGCTCTAATTAAGTAATTTTTGAAACTGAAGGACCAATACAATACTTAAATTCTACCAACCAGGACTTCATATGAACAGAGTTGAATTATTTCATATTACGTCCTTCTGAGGAACATACCTACAGAGAAGAAGAGCGATGTCTTATTTAGCTTTATTGATATGACCTTTGCAATCGAAGTAATACTTATAAACAATAGTACAATACACATTTTAATATCAGTGATTTTTTCAGTAATGATGGGACGAAAAATGTTCTGGGAACAAGCTATCAACTTCGGATAAAACAAAAATCAAACTCCACTTCTTTGTAAGCCTTAAATCTTTTCCTCATTGGCAGAGGAGGAACCGTCGGTAAAATTAATCCCGTATAATCTTGGAAAAATATTTCACAATTTATTTCTTAAGAGCGAACTTAATTTATATGCAAAGTTGAGATCTGATCAAGCGCGCTCATACATTACGTTATTCCCATAATAGCTATTTTGGGGAAATTACATTTTCTTCTTAACCACGTTTGGGTATTAAGCATTCATGTATTCAGACCTTGGCCTAGATTTTTTCTAGACATTCTTCAATATCTGTTATGTGAACCAACCCCCTAAATTGGGTTCATACTTTTTAAACAGAATACTTACTATTACTTACTTATTTTTACGTATCTATAAAAGTGTTTCTGTTTAGATGCTATGGCATCAAATTGGTGTTGGGTTTGAAAAGAATAGAACGGACAAGAAGTTAGAAACAAAAATAAGAGCAGGGATCATGAAGGACACAACGACACGACTTATAAGTTCGCCACTTGCAGCTTTCTGACGGATATTATATCGCTTTACAGTGTGTAAGATAATTTAAGCCCGGTCTGTGAGCACGTAGAATTTTGTCCAATGACCCCAAGCTACCCATCCTTATCGCTCACAGCCCAGACAAAATTCCACGTGCTCACAGACCAGACTATAGGATTGTTGATGTTATGTTAAAATCGAATTTTTTCCCTTAGGCTAGGAGATCTACGGCACGCTGAAAATGCCTTAAACGAGGAGTTGGAGACAGAAGTATACCGTTGGGCGCTAGAAACCATTGGTGTGATGATGTTCGGAATCCGCCTCGGCTGCCTGGACGGAGCCGCGCATATCCCTACAGCTGATAACAAGTAAGTCAGCTGATAAAAACTCATAAAACTCATTTATTTCTATAAATAGGCTTAAAAAAGCACTTTATATACATATATGATAACAGTAACATAGCCCTTAACAATACTGTCAGTGGGCACATAGCTCTTAGAATTTATCGCTATTTGGGGCAGAAAAGTTCTCGAGTTGCGACCACAAACCGAAAGGCTTCTCACTTGGTGGACTGACGATGTAGTAAAAGGGGCAGAGAGCCTGGATGCAGGAGGCGCAAGACCGGTCGTTGTGAAAATCTTTGGAGGAGGCCTTTGTCCGTTATTCGGCCGAATTTCTAGATATAGCTGAGAATGCACTAAACGAGGAGCTAGAAACAGAGGAATAATACCGCTGGGTGCTGGGAGACCTTAGCGTGATTATGCTAGGCATCCGCCTCGACATTTAAATCCACTCATTTGCATCTTCAAATAAAAAACCAAGATAATATTATATGCACAATGCAAACTCTAAGGTTAATAGAACCTTATTCGGTGCTCCTCTAATTTGCATACAAATATAAATTGTCTAAAATAAAAGAGAGTTTTCTAAGAATAATTTAAATTAAGTTACTACTCAACTTCAAGTAAATTAAACATAATTTTATTAGAGTAAACGGTGCTTGACCTGATGAAAATTAAATCCCATCCAAGTTTATTGCCAGTTCTGAATAAAAATATTTATTCCACGTATTTTTAATTTTAATTCTCTAGATTCTTAGGTATTCTCTACTTTCAAAGTTTATTAATCGCTTTATTGAAGTTACTATCTAAGTATCTAGTTAATTTCTTTTTTGCTTATAGTATCTAAATGGATTTAAGCTTCAATTCTTGGATGTACAAGAAACAAACCAAACATAACCATCTACATCTAATCATAGCATAGGTATAGATCGTTTCATCCACGAAGACGCGCCCCACCAATTTTTGGTCGAGAGAAGCGCGTGGTGCGGGGAGTTTAATCCGAGCAATCCGAGCATCATTATTGTAATGTGCGTGTGCACTCGTGGATGATTAATTTAGCGTATTATGATTAATATAACACTCAAATATTAGCGGAAGAATGGTGGATCGCGTCTTCGTGGATAAAACGATCTATAAGTACTGCATGTCTTTAAATACACAGCTGACATATTAAATTTTTCATCTTAATCATAATTTGGCCTTAACGCCTGTGCAAATTATCCAATTAATGTTTATCTTTTGCCCCCAGAACTCCCGAAAAGACTTCCCTAGACGACGACACCCCAGACCGATGCTCTCTATCCAAACGCTGCCTGGAAGAGCTAAGTCCAGCAGAGAGCCTGGTGCGATACGCGAGAGAAATAGCTGGTGGAAACTACCTAGTCAGGAGCGAGGCCACTTTGAAGAAGGACTCGCTAGTCTTCAACAATGCCTTGAAAGCCCTTGACAGACATTACAGGTAGGTCAAAATCCTAGAACAGCTAAGTCCTGCAGAGAGCCTGGTACGCGAGAGAGATAGCCGGTGAAAACTACCTAGTCAGGAGCGAGGCCACTTTGAAGAAGGACTCGCTAGTCTTCAACAACGCCTTGAAAGCCCTTGATAGACATTACAGGTAGGTCAAAATCCTAGAACAGCTAAGTCCTGCAGAGAGCCTAGTGCGGTACGCGAGAGGACTCACAAGTCTTCAACAACGCACTGAAAGCTCTTGATATACATTACAGGTAGGTTACAATCATCGTCATCATTTTCAGGTCATTAACGCCCGTATTCACAAACATTGCTATGAGGCCTCACAGTGCGCGTGGACGCACAGGGTGACAGGCGAACTAATCATAGAACTCTATTTAACGCTGTGCGTTTGATTTGGTGCTTCACTTAAGCAAACATCGTTTGTGAATACGGGCGTTAGTCTACACTATAGACACGATCCTAAAATGCCAGGGGAAAGTGGAGGGTTTGGGCTGCACTCACCACTCAGACGGGTTGGGGAAGCCAAATCTTCACATATTTGTAAATTAATTGTCTTTTTGCGACATCAAAGGAAAAGTAAGAATGGTCAAATAAGTATTATCCTAACTTAGCTTACCTTGGTTTGATGAAACAGACGACGACAAGGCTGGCCACAGTTGAGGATCCGTACCCTGATGGGGACAAATGCAGTAAAATGAGCATGAGCATTTAAAGTCACGTAGGTACATTTATTACATTTAAATACCTACTTAAATAAGTTCTTAAAAGGTAGAATAAACATTCCCAAAATAAGTAACACCTCTTTTACGAAGTACGAGTATCAGTAACCTAACAGTTCTTAAATTATATTGTTGCTTACTTAATTGATAAAACCGTTTTGGTTCCGCGAGTCCGCGTGTAACCACAAAAGCTAGTTTAATATCACAATGTAATAATAACTATATTAAGATAATTAATGTCAACAAACTATAGTTTTTTTGTTAAAATAATTGCCAAGCAAATCAAGAACCGCTGTGAGTAAGTTAAGTCTGGATTTTGATTCTGTAGCATTCCGAAGCAACCACAAGGCGGATTTGCTGAGGCCCGTTGAACTAAGTTGCCAGCAACATTTGCAATATAAATAACTTTGAAACCACCAAGAAACACTTTGGTTACATTTTAGATGATAGGTACTTTGACAAGGGTTGGTGATGCTGTTTAATATTTAATTGTTTACCTTAACGCATAGATTTACTACATAAAAGCAAAATATTAAGATCAAGAATTGGGATTTGGTAATTTAATCAAAGCTCATAATTGACTACCTTAACAGTTGCACTAAAAAGCTCATAGGTTTCATTTAGCATCAGCTTATCAGAACAGCACAGACCTTCTAATAAGCTGTTATCCTAGGCAGTTTTAATCAGTCATTAATGACTCGTTTCTGATACATGAAGAACATTAACTAATTGACGTAGATTAATCCTGAACCAATCGACCGAATCAAACATGATTAACATTTTTCATTAGGTCGGTATATTTACAAGCGGGACCGGGATAACCTCGCTGAATGCTTTTAGCATTAAATTCACCATATTATTTTGTACTTACTTCTTAAAGATTTTTAAATAAATTAAAAATAATAAAAAAGTGACCGATTACATAATTAATTTACGCCCGTTTTCACAAACATTACTATGAGGACGCACATGGTGACACACGAACTAATCACAGAGCTCTTTTCAACGCTGTGCGTTCGATTTGCTGCTTCACTTAAGCTAGCATCGTTTGTGAATACGGTCGTAAGTATCCACAGCAAGAGTACGACCCTCTTTACCGGAAGCAAATAGGGGATTTGGCCTGGTCAGCTTTCATCATAAACTTTCTCATTTCTTACAGTCTCACCGAATTCTTCTTACAACAAGCCACTGCCGAGCTAAAGTCCGGGACTTTAAGACCTGAACAAGCGTTCCTGGACAAACTGAGGCCACTAGAGGGGAGGATACTGCCGCTAGCCTCCGACTTTTTGCTGGCTGGGGTGGAACCGGTAAGTAACTGCTAAACTGAAAACCCAACAATACCCGTGTAAAAGATGTAGGTACTACAACATACACCCATTCAAATTAAATACCCTTGACTTCACGCCACACAAAACTGAGAGATATAATAATACTACACTTTTCTCTTCTAAATATCTTCAATTTATGATTAACTCATGACATTCTACTCATCCCATAATATCGAAGTCTTATAGACTTACAATTTCAAATTCCATATTAATTATGTACAGTCGCGGAATGAAAAGGTTCGTCACCTTAGTGTCGGTTTTCGCTTGTACTAGGTAATGTAAGAGTCAAACCTGCCAACATAACCGTGCAAGAAACAGTGTTGCTAACATTTAAATAAATAGGTANTTAATAATGTTGTCCTCAAAATGGAACCTCTGTATATTTTCGTGTAAAAAAAAATCAAAGTTCTATGTCATAAAAAACATATGATTTTCAGCTACGCCGCTCAAAAAATGTGTTTGGGAAATTGACCCTTATATGCAAAGTTGAGATCTGATCAAGCGCGCTCATACATCACGTTATTCCCATAATAGCTATTTTGGGGAAATTACATTTTCTTCTTAACCACGTTTGGGTATTAAGCATTCATGTATTCAGACCTTGGCCTAGATTTTTTCTAGCTCTTCTTCGATATTTTTAAAGAATTCTAGGCTCTATTATGTAAACCAACCCCTAAATTGGGCTCATACTTTTTAAGCATCTGTATACTTACTTATTTTTACGTATCTATAAAGGTGTTTCTGTTTAAATGCCATAACACAAGCTCTATTTAGATTGGTGTTAGGTATGAAAACAATAGAACGGAAAAGAAAATAAGAGCAGGGATCATGAAGAAGGATACAACGGCTTATAAGTTCGCCATTAGCAGCTTTCTGACGATAATATCGCTTTGCAGTGTGTAAGATAATTTAAGCCCGGTCTGTGAGCACGTAGAATTTTGTCCAATGACCCCAAGCTACCCATCCTTATCGCTCACAGCCCAGACAAAATTCCACGTGCTCACAGACCAGACTATAGGATTGTTGATGTTATGTTAAACTCGAAATATTTTCAGGCTAGGAGACCTACGGCACGCTGAGAATGCTTTAAACGAGGAGTTGGAGACAGAAGTATACCGTTGGGCGCTAGAAACCATTGGTGTGATGATGTTCGGAATCCGCCTCGGCTGCCTGGACGGAGTAGCGCATATCCCTACGGCTGATAACAAGTAAGTCAGCTGATAACAGTAACATAGCCCTTAACAATACTATCAGTGGGCACATAGCTCTTAGAATATTTATCGCTATTTGGGCTAAGTTCTCGAGTTGCGACCACAAACCGAAAGGCTTCTCACTTGGTGGACTGACGATGTAATAAAAGGGGGCAGAGAGTCTGGATGCAGAAGGCGTAGGACCGGTCGTTGTGAAAATCTTTGGAGGAGGCCTTTGTCCAGCAGTGGACGTTATACAGCCGAATTTCTAGATATAGCTGAGAATGCACTAAATGAGGAGTTTAGAAACAGACGTACCGCTGGGCGCTAGAGACCCTTTGCGTGATGATGCTAGGCATCCGCCTTTGCTTTTATATCCACCCGTTTGCATCTTTTCAATTAAAAACAAATTAATATGTACAGAACAATGTAAACTCTAAGATAAATAATAATAGAACCTTATTCGGTGCTCCTTTAATTTGCATACAATTTTAAATTTTCTAAATTAAAAAGAGTATTCTAGGAATAATTTAACCATCTTTAAATTAAATTAAGTTACTACTCTACTTCAAGTAAATTAAACATCATTTTATTAGAGTAAACGTTGCTTGACCTGATGAAAATTAAATCCCATCCAAGTTTGTTGCCAGTTCTGAATAAAAATATTTATTCCAAGTATTTTTAATTTCAATTCTCTAGATTCTTAGGTATTCTCTAATTTCAAAGTTTATTAATCGCTTTATTGAAGTTACCATCGACTTAATCTCTTTTTTGCTTATAGTAGGGTAGACCGGGGACAATANTAAGTATCTAGTTAATTTCTTTTTTGCTTATAGTATCTAAATGGATTTAAGCTTCAATTCTTGGATGTACAAGAAACAAACCAAACATAACCATCTACATCTAATCATAGCATAGGTATAGATCGTTTCATCCACGAAGACGCGCCCCACCAATTTTTGGTCGAGAGAAGCGCGTGGTGCGGGGAGTTTAATCCGAGCAATCCGAGCATCATTATTGTAATGTGCGTGTGCACTCGTGGATGATTAATTTAGCGTATTATGATTAATATAACACTCAAATATTAGCGGAAGAATGGTGGATCGCGTCTTCGTGGATAAAACGATCTATAAGTACTGCATGTCTTTAAATACACAGCTGACATATTAAATTTTTCATCTTAATCATAATTTGGCCTTAACGCCTGTGCAAATTATCCAATTAATGTTTATCTTTTGCCCCCAGAACTCCCGAAAAGACTTCCCTAGACGACGACACCCCAGACCGATGCTCTCTATCCAAACGCTGCCTGGAAGAGCTAAGTCCAGCAGAGAGCCTGGTGCGATACGCGAGAGAAATAGCTGGTGGAAACTACCTAGTCAGGAGCGAGGCCACTTTGAAGAAGGACTCGCTAGTCTTCAACAATGCCTTGAAAGCCCTTGACAGACATTACAGGTAGGTCAAAATCCTAGAACAGCTAAGTCCTGCAGAGAGCCTGGTACGCGAGAGAGATAGCCGGTGAAAACTACCTAGTCAGGAGCGAGGCCACTTTGAAGAAGGACTCGCTAGTCTTCAACAACGCCTTGAAAGCCCTTGATAGACATTACAGGTGGGTCAAAATCCTAGAACAGCTAAGTCCTGCAGAGAGCCTAGTGCGGTACGCGAGAGGACTCACAAGTCTTCAACAACGCACTGAAAGCTCTTGATATACATTACAGGTAGGTTACAATCATCGTCATCATTTTCAGGTCATTAACGCCCGTATTCACAAACATTGCTATGAGGCCTCACAGTGCGCGTGGACGCACAGGGTGACAGGCGAACTAATCATAGAACTCTATTTAACGCTGTGCGTTTGATTTGGTGCTTCACTTAAGCAAACATCGTTTGTGAATACGGGCGTTAGTCTACACTATAGACACGATCCTAAAATGCCAGGGGAAAGTGGAGGGTTTGGGCTGCACTCACCACTCAGACGGGTTGGGGAAGCCAAATCTTCACATATTTGTAAATTAATTGTCTTTTTGCGACATCAAAGGAAAAGTAAGAATGGTCAAATAAGTATTATCCTAATTTAGCTTACCTTGGTTTGATGAAACAGACGACGACAAGGCTGGCCACAGTTGAGGATCCGTACCCTGATGGGGACAAATGCAGTAAAATGAGCATGAGCATTTAAAGTCACTTAGGTACATTTATTACATTTAAATACCTAATTCAATAAGTTCTTAAAAGGTAGAATAAACATTCTCAAAATAAGTAACACCTCTTTTACGAAGGAGTATCAGTAACCTAACAGTTCTTAATTTATTATTGTTGCTTACTTAATTGATAAAACCGTTTTGGTTCCGCGAGTCCGCGTGTAACCACAAAAACTAGTAATACGAGTATGTAATTTAATAATAACTATATTTAGATAGTTAATGTCAACAAACTATAGTTTCTTTGTTAAAATAATTGCTAAGCAAATCAAGAACCAGTGAGCCAGTTAAGTCTGGATTTTGATTCTTTAGCATTCCGAAGCAACCACAAGGCAGATTTTCTGAGGCCAGTTGAACTAAGTTGCCAGCAACGTTTGCAATATAAATCACTTTGAAACCACCAAGAAACACTTTGGTTACATCTTAGATAATAGGTACTTTGGTAAGGGTTGGTGATGTTGGTTGAATATTTAATTGTTTACCTTAACGCATAGATTTACTACATAAAAGCAAAATATTAAGATCAAGAATTGGGATTTGGTAATTTCATCAAAGGTCGTAATTGACTGCCTTAACAGTTGCACTAAAAAGCTCTTGTCTCATGTAGCATAGGGGATTTGGCCTGGTCAGCTTTCATCATAAACTTTCTCATTTCTTACAGTCTCACCGAATTCTTCTTACAACAAGCCACTGCCGAGCTAAAGTCCGGGACTCTAAGACCTGAACAAGCGTTCCTGGACAAACTGAGGCCACTAGAGGGGAGGATACTGCCGCTAGCCTCCGACTTTTTGCTGGCTGGGGTGGAACCGGTAAGTAACTGCTAAACTATGTCAACAATACCAAGCATGTACTACAACATACACCCGGCCATTCAAATTAAATACCCTTGACTTCACGCCACACAAAACTGAGAGATATAATAATACTACACTTTTCTCTTCTAAATATCTTTAATTTATGATTAACTCATGACATTCTACTCATCCCTTAATATCGAAGTCTTATAGACTTACAATTTCAAATTCATTACAATAGGGATGTTTCCTGGGTCAAAAAGCAAGAGTTTTAATTAGTCCGTCAGTTAACTTATCAAAAAAAACTCTACACGTATTTTTCACTTTTTCAAACTAATGAAAATTTAAAGAAATAAAGCGCGCCAAAGTTCATAAGAAGAGGCCCGTGACGTCAATGCGTGCATAAAAGTGCCGCACGTTGTGACGTCGTGCGGAACTTCAACGCACCATAACTATGTAATTATTTGTTAGATTGACAAATAAAAATATATGTGTCCAATATTTTTTGATTTAAACATTACGGACTAAAAAAATTTTTTTAGGAAACTAGCCTATTCCATATTAATTATGTACCTTAGCATTTGCCGAGCAAGCAACCTTTGTATCGATTTCAATTTGGTTAGGTTAGGACATTTCAAGCTTGAATCAACTTGATTTACGATAAGAATAATAAATCCTTACTTCGGCGAGCACGGTAAGCCAGTCCTATCGAACCCTGTCAGGATATCCCATACAGATCCCGGGTCATAAAGTTTTGACAACAAGATTAGGTATCTACTCGTACATTCCAATTAATTATAAGTAGTTTCCTATAATTTGACATAACTGCTTGGGTTAAACAAAAAAAATTCGAGCAGGTTAAATCGATCTTATCGATTCGATTATTATTCGATTCTAAATCGATTTATCTTTTTAACCCATATTATACCCAGAACTATTGAAATCTCAGATTTTTATGTAATTTGGCATACTGAGTTTCTTGCGCTGCTTCTTCTCAGCACTGACCCATTTATTATCCTGAAGCAGAGGTAGGGTTAATACTGGGACGTGTAAAAGTGCTTTTGAAAAGTCTACTTGCATAAATAAATTAGTTTTATGACTTTTACTTATTTACAGTTTCTTTTAAAGGCATCGCAAGAAAACTTGGACCATTTGGTCGTTTTCGTGCCTCTGGGCATACCTATACGGGCAATCTCGAATCCACAACTCAGCCAAACTACCAACTTCAATTGGGTATGTAATAGAAATCTAGTCTTTCACACAACCTAATTGAAGTTGGTGGAAAATTTGTCCCTGGAGAACAGTTTGACGTTTTTCCTCTGACCCTTCCAAATTGGGAGCAAAGTGTATCCAACCTGAAGAGTACCCAACCATTTTGTTAGTAACAATTCCTTCTCTTATTTAATGTCAGAGCCCCGATTACGGTAATTTTCAACGTCTACAATCCAGACACGCTTCTCGATTCTGCGATACGATTGGTCGTTCAACAGCGTACGTCAGCTGTTTTGACCAATCGTATTGCAGAATCGAGAAGCGTGTCTGGATTGTTGACGTTAAAAATTACCGTAATCGGGGCTCAGATAGCTTCTCAAAAATTTTGACAGCTCTTTTTTTTTTTAATCTTTATTGTTTATAGGGGGTTTTGTCAAAGTGCCTATGTCACCCCCGTAATCACCTTCTTAGAATCTATTACAATAATTATTATGGTTATGTGCCTAATTCAACTATTTCTTCCACCTAGGGAAGTTAACAATTTGCATAATTTTCGGGCTTCCTCGCTTAAAGGTACAGCTAGGATACTGTTGTAGAAACCTCATTAATTGCTCCTAATTAATGGTGAGTGCCCAGTGTAAAAGGTATTTTTGTTTCCAGCTGGTCCACTCAGCCCTCAGCATGCTATACCAGTTGTCCCTCCATGCGGCACAACAACAAAGAGCCCACGACCAGGTCGCCTGGGCCAAGGAATCTACTGACGCAGGATTGGAGGCACCAGAACTGCCTTACATAGCAGCCTGTGCAAAGGAAGCGTTGAGGATCCATCCTGCTACTGGGGGTGTAGTTAGGAGGAGCAGAGAGGAACTGGCTGTTGGAGGATTCGAAGTTCCTGCTGGGGTGAGTCTCTTTTCGAATATAATTGGAGTTTCAGAGGAGACCAGTGGTTTCTTTATGATGATGAAGGCAGCAGCGAGCCCACGACAACGTCGTCTAGGCCAAGGAGTCCACAGACGCAGGGTTGGAAGCACCAGAACTGCCGTATATAGCGGCCTGTGCAAAGGAAGCGTTGAGGATCCATCCTGCTACTGGAGGAGTGGTCAGGAGAAGCAGAGAGGAGTTAGCTGTTGGAGGATTTGAAGTACCAGCTGGGGTGAGACTCTTTTCGAATATATTTGAATTTCAGAGAGGGCCTAGAGCTCGACCAACTCCATTAGGCTAAGGAATTCACAGACAGTAGAGTTAGAGATACCAGAACTGCCTTACAGGCAGGATTCGAAGTTTTTGCTGGGGTAAGTTACTTTGAAGTTTACTTTGAATTTTAGAGCAAAGGAATTATAAAGCTTTTCTACAATGGTGCATTGGTGAAAAGAAGCATTGGGAATCCATAAAGGCATAGCGAACGAAAATGCACCTTTCGAGATCGTGGATATTTTTTTCTACTAAGTGTGGTTACGGAGATTGTATAACAAAAGCAGCTCTCTCAATTTTCAACCGACTTCAAAAAAGGAGGAGGTTCTCAATTCGACCCGTATGTTTTTTTTCTATGTTTGTTACGCGATAACTCCGCCAATTATGAACCGATTTGAACAAATCTTTTTTCGGCGTATAGGTAATACCTCAAGGGTGGTCCCATTTAAATTTAATAATAGAAAAAACAACCCCCAAGTGTGGAAAATTGGGGATGAACTTTTTTATACGCAATATCTCCGCCGATTATAAATTTTGAATGATTATTTTTTTGTTGAATAGGTATTTTCAAAAGGGTGGTTTCATGCGAATTTGAAGAAAATATTTCACCCCCAAGGGTGGAAAATTGGGGATGAACTTTTTTATACGCAATATCTCCGCCGATTATGAACCAATTTGAACGATAGTTTTTTTGTTGAATAGGTATTATCAAAATTTTTTTTGTGTTCACGAATTTGAAGTCGGTTTTATTTAAAAAAAAAAGTTAATTATATTTCATTAGCTTAGGATACTCCCAGGGTAAAATCAATCCAATAGTCTCAAGAACGACAGCTCCATACTCTGAAAGATCATTAACTACGCTTGAGACCTGGATTGCACCAAAAATAGAAAAATTTAACAAATCCTCTCTTCCATAGGTGGACATAGTCTTAGCACACGGCGTGACCAGCAAATCTGAGAAGCAATGGGGACGCTCCAAAGCCTTCATCCCAGAAAGATGGTGCAACGAGGGTTGGGAGCCTTTAAAGGCTTCCAGAGCTCATCCCCTAGCCTCCATGCCTTTTGGGGACGCCTGTCCTGCAACAGGGGTAGTTGGGAAGATGCTGACATCCCTTGCCACGAGGGTGCTAGACAAATACAGACTGGAATGGCATGGGCCTATGCCCAATATCACTACCACAGGAGTCAATAAGCTACAACCACCGTATTACTTCGTCCTACAGAATGCTGCTTGAAATTCATTTTGGATGATTCTGAAAATATTGTAATTTATATTTTTTTGGACTTATACGAGTACTTACAGTAGTACTAGTTAAACTTAGTGTGAGATATATTTTGGCTAATGAAATTGTAATCTGTGGTAATTATTTTAGGGCGACTATTATAAAAGAAACTAATTTGAAAAAACATCTAAATAAATAATCTTCTATGTATCCGCCTAGAATTATTTGTTGTAGAATTAAGATTATAATTAATCGAATTAAATATTATTGATAGAAATTATTTTAAATAATATAATGTTCCTTTTTAAAATTAATGCTAATTTTATTGTACTGTTTTTTGCACATTGCAATAATTAAATAATAATTATTAAATTAATTGGTTTTATTATGATTACTATCCTTATTCACTCAACCATGATAAATAATTAAACTGTACTGACAGAATTCGTTTTTTTGAATGATAAAAAATATTACAAGTAAAAGTAAAAACATAAGGAATAATTTTGATGTTGTTTTGATTTATTTAAAATTCTTTGTACAAACATCGACATGCTAGATTCCAATATCAACAAATATCTAGGAAATGCCAAACAAACACGTTTATTGCATTATTTACAGCCATTAATCAGTGCCGCCACCTCGCCGTGATCAATCTCATTTAGTGACAGACGGTGTACATTGTTCGCTTGCACGCCGGGATCGGGTACTAAGCAGGCTTTTTGTTACTTGACATCACTAAACTGGAAATAAACAATATCGACTAGAAAAAATATCTTTATAGAGTGCACCAGTACTTTTTCTTTGCCTCTACATTATTAACTGAGTAGCATGCCTTACGAATTGTTAAAATTGTTAATAAATAAACTCATCTGTAGGTAGGTAGAGACTCTACCTACTAGAGACGACANATAAATCCATACTTCGGCGAGCACGGTAAGCCAGTCCTATCGAACCCTGTCAGGATATCCCTTAAAAGATCCCGGCTCATAAAGTTTTGACAACAAGATTAGGTATCTACTCGTACATTCCAATTAATTAAAAGTAGTTTCCTGTAATTTGACATAACTGCTTGGGATAAACAAAAAAAAATCGAGCGGGTTAAATCGATCTTATCGATTCGATTATTATTCGATTCTAAATCGATTTATCTTTTTAACCCATATTATACCCAGAACTATTGAAATCTATTTATTTATTTATATGGCATACCAACAACATATATATTATACTCTTATGATTAACATTTATGAAGATAACATTTCTGATATACAGGTCACTTAAGGGTAAGCTCAACATTCACAAAAATCTCCGATTTTTATGTAATTTGGCATACTGAGTTTCTTGCGCTGCTTCTTCTCAGCACTGACCCATTTATTATCCTGAAGCAGAGGTAGGGTTAATACTGGGACGTGTAAAAGTGCTTTTGAAAAGTCTACTTGCATAAATAAATTAGTTTTATGAGTTTTATTTACAGTTTCTTTTAAAGGCATCGCAAGTAAACTTGTACCATTTGGTCGTTTTCGTGCCTCTGGGTATACCTATATGGGCAATCTCGAATCCACAACTCAGCCAAACTACCAACTTTAATAGAAATCTAGTCTTTCACAACCCAATTGAAGTTGGTGGAAAATTTGTCCCTAGAAAACAGTTTGACGTTTTTCCTCTGACCCTTCCAAATTGGGAGCAAAGTGTATCCAACCTGAAGAGTACCCAACCATTTTGTTAGTGACAATTCATCTCTTATTTAATGTCAGATAACTTCTCAAAAATTTTGACAGCTCCTTTTTTTTTAAATCTTTATTGTTTATAGGGGGTTTTGTCAAAGTGCCTATGTCACCCCCGTAATCACCTTCTTAGAATCTATTACAATAATATTACGGTTATGTGCCTAATTCAACTATTTCTTCCATCTAGTGAAGTTAACAATTTGCATAATTTTCGGGCTTCCTCGCTTAAAGGTACAGCTAGGATACTGTTGTAGAAACCTCATTAATGGGGATGTTTCCTGGGTCAAAAAGCAAGAGTTTTAATTAGTCCGTCAATTAACTTATCAAAAAATACTCTACACGTATTTTTCACTTTTTCAAACTAATGAAAATTTAAAGAGATAAAGCGTGCCAAAGTTCATAAGAAGAGGCCCGTGACGTCAATGCGTGCATGAAAGTGCCGCACGTTGTGACGTCGTGCGGAACTTCAACGCACCATAACTATGTAATTATTTGTTAGATTGACAAATAAAAATATATGTGTCCAATATTTTTTAATGTTAAACATGACGGACTAAAAAAATTTTTTTAGGAAACTAGCCTGGTAAGTTCCCAGTGTAAAAGATATTTTTGTTTCCAGCTGGTCCACTCAGCCCTCAGCATGTTATACCAGCTGTCCCTCCACGCGGCACAACAACAAAGAGCCCATGACCAGGTAGTCTGGGCCAAGGAATCTACTGACGCAGGGTTGGAGGCACCAGAACTCCCTTACATAGCTGCCTGTGCAAAGGAAGCGTTGAGGATCCATCCAGCTACTGGAGGAGTGGTCAGGAGAAGCAGAGAGGAGCTGGCTGTAGGAGGATTTGAAGTACCAGCTGGGGTGAGACTCTTTTCGAATATAATTGGAGTTTCAGAGGAGACCAGTGGTTTCTTTAAGGTGACGAAAGCAGCAGCGAGCCCACGACCAGGTCGTCTAGGCCAAGGAGTCCACAGACGCAGGATTGGAGGCACCAGAACTGCCGTATATAGCGGCCTGTGCGAAGGAAGCGTTGAGGATCCATCCTGCTACTGGAGGAGTGGTTAGGAGAAGCAGAGAGGAGTTAGCTGTTGGGGGATTCGAAGTTCCTGCTGGGATAAGTCTGTTGAAATCTGTTTGAATTTCAGAGGAGATTCAGTAGTTTTAGAGTCGCACAGGGTGAAGGAGACATTGAGAACCAATTAGGATACCAGAGATTCAGATGTTGCATAACAAAGCTGGTTCTTAGAGTACTTATTGGAAGTTCCTGCTAGGATGATAGTTGCTTGGAGAGTGGCTGGTTATTTATTAAAACATTGAAGACTTATTTCTAAAACTTCTATTGAATAAATCTACGGTTTGGTCTACGTTAATGTGAAAATAGTAATGTTATAATGTACCTTTCAAGTACAGGTACCTACCTACCTTGAGCTTCACGTAAAAACATAAGTATAGATATAAAAGTATAAAAGTAGCTTATTAGTATAGATTAGAACACAGGCAGAATTGCTATCCATTAAAGATAGAAAAAGAATTTAACAAATCCTCTCTTCCACAGGTGGACATAGTCCTAGCACACGGCGTGACCAGCAAATCGGAGAAACAATGGGGGCGATCCAAGGCTTTCATCCCTGAAAGATGGTGCAACGAGGGTTGGGAGCCTTTAAAGGCTTCCAGAGCTCATCCCCTAGCCTCTATGCCTTTTGGGGACGCCTGTCCTGCAACAGGGGTAGTTGGGAAGATGCTGACATCCCTTGCCACGAGGGTGCTAGACAAATACAGACTGGAATGGCATGGGCCTATGCCCAATATTACTACCACAGGAGTTAATAAGCTGCAACCACCGTATTACTTCGTCCTACAGAATGCTGCCTGAAATGCATTTTGGGTGATTCTGAAAAAATGTATTTATATTTTTTGGACTTAAGTATGGCTTTATACGAGTACTTACAGTAGTACTAGTTCGAATATGAAAACTTAGGCTGGGTTGCACCATCTTACTTTAACTTTGACAAACGTCAAAAATCTGTCAAAATCCATACAAAAAACATCGGTTATCGTTATAGTTACGGTCAAAGTTAGGTGGTGCAACTGAGCCTTAGTATAAGATATATTTTGGCTAATGAAATTGTAATCTGTGGTAATTATTTTAGGTGACTATTAAAAAAGAAAGTAATTTTAAAAAAAATTGAAATAAATAATCTTCTATGTATCCGCCTAGAATTATTTGTTGTAGAATTAAGATTATAATTAATCGAATTAAATATTATTGATAGAAGTTATTTTAAATAATATCATGTTCCTTATTAAAAATAAATGATAATTTTATTGTACTGTTTTTTGCACATTACAATAATTAAATAATTATGATTAAATTAATTGGTTTTATTATGATTACTATCCTTACTCACTCAACCATGATAAATATAATTAAACTATACTGACAGAATTCGTTTTTTTTTAATGATAAAAAATATTACAAGTAAAAGTAAAAGCATAGGGAATAATTTTGATGTTGTTTTGATTTATTTAAAATTCTTTGTACAAACATCGACATGCTAGATTCCAATATCAACAAATATCTAGGAAATGCCAAACAAACACGTATATTGCATTATTTACAGCCATTAATCAGTGCCGCCACCTCGCCGTGATCAATCTCATTTAGTGACAGACGGTGTACATTGTTCGCTTGCACGCCGGGATCGGGTACTAAGCAGGCTTTTTGTTACTTGACATCACTAAACTGGAAATAAACAATATCGACTAGAAAAAATATCTTTATAGAGTACACCAGTACTTTTTCTTTGCCTCTACATTATTAACTGAGTAGCATGCCTTACGAATTGTTAAAATTGTTAATAAATAAACTCATCTGTAGGTAGGTAGAGACTCTACCTACTAGAGACGAAATCCCATCAAGTGTAGACGTTCGTCCTTTCTAAAGTTATAGTAGACCTATCAGAAAATTAAATAAAGTTTTGACTATCAATATATTTATCGTGTATACGTGTATGTGGCACGTACCGTCCACCTGTGCAGCGAACTCCTCCTACACTCGACATCAAATAAATCGCACCTCCCGCGACAAGCACTTTCAAACGTATGCATCCCCACTTCCCAGAAATATTGGCACAATTTAAAAGCCTAGTTCTAAACTTCATTTCATTAAAGGAAAGGAAAAACCCAAAAATGTGTCTTTAGAAGGATCCAGAGTCACTTCTTCAAAATAGGCAGTTACGCTTGAGCCAACTTTTATGGCTTTAAAACTGTTAAGTTGGGATTAATCGCTATCCATTTGTTAAAGAGGACACGTGTGATTTATTATTTGGTTTTATAACCATAAAATTTGGTCTAATTGATCCCAGAGGTGAGCCCAAAGGTCTTTTTTCAAGTCACATTACGAGTACATACCATGTATATGTTAGTCATTTATTAAGAAATGAAATATGTTTTTCTTTAAGGATATTTATTGGGCTTTCAAAAAACACCAATATTGTTGGGGTACCATGATTGTGTCAGAAGAAAACCCTTAAATTTCTCGTCGCGGGAGGGTCCATTTATTTGATGTCGAGTGTAGTTACGTATGT